ACAATATTCTCAGTTGGAAGGGACACACAAGGATCATTGAGTCCAACCCTTAGTCCTGCACAGGACCATCCCCAGGAGTCACACCATGTGCCCAAGAGTATCATCCAAATACTTCTTGAACTCTGGCAGGCTTGGTGCTGGGAGCATAGGGAATGAAGCAGAGATAGAATCAGAAAGCTCATGCTTCACATTGCTCTTCAAAATAAGGGAGTAGCATCAGTTTCAAAAATCTTGCACACAATATGAAATACCTATTTTTAAAATAATGGATAAATTGCATTTGTTTATTTTCACACAGGAATATGAGTGTCTATTTGCAAACTGGACTGCCTGCTGGTACGTACTGTGATGTTATTTCTGGACAAAAGGAGAACAACAAATGTACTGGAAAACAGGTGTACGTTTCTGGTGATGGAAAGGCTAATTTCCAGATTAATACTGATGCTGAAGATCCATTTATTGCAATTCATGTTGATGCGAAATTATAACTCCAGAGAAATATCCTCCTCTGTTTGGTCTGTGCCTTACTGTTTCCCCCATATGTGGTTCCCTGGTTTTTGAGCATAAGTGACTGTACCTAGTGAATAGAAAATGGCAATTAAATTGAAAAATAATGCTTTTTCTCTTAATTATTTGGATGTAACTTTATTACCTCTTAACTAGGGGCATTGCAGTCAGGTTTTAAGGGAATGCAGCACTTCAATTCCCACATAACAAAAACACAGGGGAAAATAAAATAAATTTAAAAAAAATACAAAGTTAAAATGCAGTATCTCCAAGGCTGATACATGCACACACAACTGTATCCCACAGCAGCCACGTTGTGGCAGTCAGCTAAAAGCAGTGCCTACACACAGTTTATCCCTTTCCTGTGGCAAACCAAACCTGGAATCTTGGCCAGTGAAGGAAGATGGGCCATGCCAAACAGTTATTCCAGTCTGTGACTTCAGTCAAGCTATTGGTTACCTGGTTCCAGTCAGTTTGTACCCACACAAATCAAACCCACAGCTCTACTGTTGTTATCCCCAGTGGTTTGCTGCAAATGAATGTTCACTGTGGAGGGGGTTCCAGAGGTGTCCAAGAACGTCGCTGTATATGCAGGCATTGCTTACACCTTGTGCCAGTGGCACATTCTTGTCTCTGTGGCACATTAGGCTGCGTTATTCTGTAACAGCTCAGAGAATTACGCAGACAGAACACAGGTTTGGTGGCTTTCCCCATTTCCTTGTCAGCTGTGAGAAAATACTGACATAAAGGCGAGTGTGAGGTTTGCTTCAAGTCAGAGTGTCTGCTAAGCCTAAAGTACTCATTGCAACCTGGTCTGGGGAGGAAAATAGAAGAGGGTGGCTCAGATTTGCAATTTTTGAGGTCAAGATTTACTTTTAAGGGTGGGAGAGAGAGTGTCTGTGGGTGTTGGGGGTGGTTATTGGCTCTCAGTGTGCCCAAGAGCTCAGAGCGTCTGTCAAGGCAGTTGTGGTGTGGGAGAAGTGTCCCTGGCCCAGTGCTGGATCTCTCTCCCTTGCTGGCTATGTCCAGCACTACCTGGATCCACCCACGCAGCCCCTGGATCCACTCAGTGGAACGGTGTCAGAGAGTGGGAGATTCGTGTGGCAGGATGTTCACAGCCAGTGCAGACTTGTTGTTTGCCCACAGGGGCAGGTCAGGGAGCCCTCCTGCCCCTTTGAAGTTGATTGGCACTGCCTGCTCCTCCTGGGTTACTCTATCCATGTTTGTTTAAGCCCCACATTCAGCTCTAACCCTCAGAAACGCTGTGATTCCATACTAGCTTTTATTCAGACATTACCCAATCCCAACTGGAATCATCAGTCCACATTTCAAATTATACATCCACCTCCAAACCCCACAGCTTTTGTGGCAAATGATTGAAATGACACACATTGATCCGAGGTGTCCATAAATCAACAGGTGGTGCTGAATATGGAGAAGATTATGTCTGTGCCTGTGAACATATGTGGATCCACTTTCCAATTATGTTGGAGTGCAGTGAGTGTTTTGCCTAATGTAGATTCAGATAGGTCTGCATTTCACAGTGGAATTAAATAGAAATATGGAGAAAAAGAAATCATGAGACAGTTTTCTGATGTGTAAGTAAAACTTTGTGGGCCAAATGTTCGCTGCTTTGAAAGGCCCTGACCTGGTTTTTGTTCCTTTTATTTCAGGCTTTTTGCCACATTGCCTTATAATATGAGCACTATGATGATGAAGAAAGCAACAGTGTCATCCCGAGAAACACCAGGTCTTTCAGATAACTCACAAAACCCAGTGTTATGGTCGGCTTTACTCACGATGGTTGTTTTTAAAAAATATTAGTACTAGGAAATATTTATCTTTATTGTTACAACTTCTATTGCCACTCTTCTATATGTAAATTGAAGGCACTAAGGTGTTAATCTTGTATACCAGTAATCAGTGAAAAATTGAAAGTATGTTATGAAATTTATCAAGTTTAAAGTAAAATGTTTGCTGGGGCACAGAAAGATGTCTAGCAGATCTGCCAAAGTGTAAAACTTTAGAATTTTGTGGGCATTATGCAAGATTTCATTTTCTGTGGCAAGTGGTGCTCGCTTTCATTGGCCAACCAGTGAGTTTATTGAGTAATGTCAAAACCTGTTATAGGTGATTTTTTTTTTTTTTTTGCAGTATTACCAGTCTCAAGCCTTCCAAAATACTATCTCAAACCCTAGAAATTCTGAGATGTAAAAGAAAGCAAAGATTTGAATAAGAGTTGGCTTTTATTTTCACTCCAAATTTGGAGTTTCCCAGGTACACTCTCTTCTCATTTTAATATTTTATTTTGAAATTTGGTGTAGAATTTAAACAGGGGAAAAGCCCCCAGACCTAACCAGCTGGGATTAAGCACACAAAAAACAATATTTCCAGTTTTAGGGATATGCCACGTAGATGATTGGAGAAAACTTTATGAGCAAAGGTAAACCCTGCTGACTTTTTACATACTATCTGGTTATCAGATGGGTTTTAAAGTGAATGGAAGAAAGATGATGATTAGTAATAGATTATTTTTCCTTTGGGATCTGTGAGACTTCCAGAGGAATTCAACTAGTTCTGTTATACGATTTCTTTTCAGTTTTTTCACTGCAGAAAAGCATGAACGCAGCTGCTGGGTTATGAAGAACTGCTCAGTTGACACTGGTTGGGCAGAAGGTGAATCTGTCTGTCTTCACTTATGATGAACAAGTTAATAGTCTCTGACAAACTTGCCTTCCGTCCTCCTTCTTTTGTCCCTGGTTCAGCTGCTCCAGCTGCCCCCTGTTCTACTCTCTTCTATTATACTTCCACACACTTTTATGCCAGTTTTGCATTTCCTGCTTTTCTGCCTCTTCTGTCACATGACAAGTACCATTCCCATCCTAGCAGCTCTTCCTGTGTGCTCTTTGGGAAGCTTAGAGGAACTGTGTTAGATTCAGACACCTCCACTCTTTGAACAATTTCATCTTTTTACAGAAACACAGTGTTCTCTGGGATAATTTAGAAAATGAACAACCCTAAAAGCAATAATGATTTTATGGAAGCTTTTGCATTTATGGCACACCAAAACTACTATTTTCTTTAAGACGTACTGGAGCAACAGTGGAATGAGGCTGTAACTATTGTCCTGTAACTACCATATTCAAGCAATATGAAGCCTATAAAAGTATGATTTGGAATATCTACATTTCACAGGTACCATAATTAAAATTAAGCAGAATTTTGTTGTTCAAGCACGGTTTGTTTTGTGCTGTACAGCATATGGAGGCATTTAAGGGAAGTAGACTGGAACAGAAGGAAGATCAATGCAGAGATAATTCATTTGCAGTGTAGGTACGAGAAAAATTCTTTGACTTATTTCAACCAGATGGTCTATAAGTATCCATTATTAACAATGATATCCCTTAGAGAACATTTTAGGGACAGTAGTTAAATGGTTTTACAGAAAAATTTTAAGACTTTACCAGTTCTTGCTGTAAACTTTACTATGATCCTCTAGTTGACCGTCTTAACTTCTGACCTCTCTACACTAAAGACATTTTGGGGCTGTTGTTAAATCCTGAACAGTTAACACCTGCAAAATCAATGAGGAATAATTTATAATTTTCTCATTTAATTAATTGCACTTGTGTTTAATTGGGTGATAAAGAAAGAATGTGCTTTGCTTTCTAAATATATCTTGTGATGGGATGTTTTATTGTAGTGGGGTGGGAAAGGCAGTAGATAATAGTTAGTTTTGTAAGTATAAAACATTTGTTATTCCCTTCAGCTTCTGACAATTAAAATACAGAAAAAGAGCAATAAAATACAGCATAGCAGTAAATGTAATTTTCTTGCTATGTCCATTTGTTTTGGCCATGTACTCTCTGAATATGTGTAAACAAAGCACACTGTACTGAATTAAGCAGAACACAGTGTTTTACTGTTGGAGAAGCTACCTAGGTACATTATACATTGGATGTCTTTAATGTTATCAGTAGATTATGTGAGAAAAGTATTGCCATGTCCTCACAAATGCAAAGTTCCTCTGTCTCCTCAGAAGATACACATGGGATTTTGATCCTAGAGCTGTATTACACAAAAAATCTCCCAGTGGCCAGACCAGGCAACTCAACAGGGGACAATTTAATTTTGGTGAATATTTATAGTGTAATGCTTATGCAGACTAAACCAATGGTAATCAAACTGAAGATATAAGCATCTGCAAGCATTTCCTTTAGAACAGGGAACAACAATTCCCAAGGGAGCTGTGCAACTTTTCCGAACAACATATGTACCTTTGTGTGAATATCAGCTAAGCATTCTCAGTAAGGTCAGTTTTAATAAATCAGTCTCAAATCCCATGTGTTATCTGACTGACTAAAAGGGAAAGCAAAGCAAAATTTTCAAAATAGCTCAAAGAGAATGATGGGACTCAAAGAAAATGTGGATAAATATTTCACCTTTGGCATTGTTTACACCAACAAAAACCCCTAAAAGTGAGAAATGCAAAACCACTAAACCCAGCGGGGTTAGCTTTTTAGTGGCCTCAACTACCTCCCCAAATGATACTGACTGAAGGCATGATCTGGCATTTGATTAACCCTCTGCATGTTCTTTTCACCTAAAACAAAAGAATAGCTCTCGAAAAAGTATATCCTGTCAAAATTTTCACCTATTTTGAACCATTCCTGAAGTACAAATCACTGAAAAAATGCAACTTGCTCTATTTAACCAAGAGGTCATTCAATATTGGAGGCGAAAGCTGTCACAACTCCTAAATATTAAGACCGTGGTCCGCTTTGCACAGGAATCACACACAGTGAAGACAAAATGGATGAATCTTTATTTCAGGGGTGAGATAGCTTTTAGGTGGTAGAGCATGGAATATGTGGAATTTGGGAGGATTTAAGGGAGTTTCATGCAAAGGAATGTCTATAAATGGAGAAAATGAGCTAAACAAATCCAAATATGGGTGAGGAGAGATAGAAAGAAGAAGAAAAGCTATAAATTTTAACTATCAGGGCCAATAAGCAGAGGGGTTACAGTCAGTGAATAGGGACAATAATTGAAACTGCTGATTACATATAAAGTAAGATTTTTTCTAACAACATTGTTACTAAATTGAATAAACATAACACTTTTATAACATGGAAAGCAGTCTCTGAGGTAGGAAGTTATCTGTTGTCCAGTAGTTTAGCTGCATTTCAAAGCTGTTTTTTCTTCAGTTCTCTTTTTCTTCAGAGATTTTTCTCCACCATGAATATATCTCTTGTGGGGAACCTCCAACAATTCAACCATGGCAGAATCTTGGAGATGGAGACGGACAGGTTCTTTCTTCACTCAAAAACTGCAGGTAATACCATAAAATGCAAATTCACAAACTTTATTAATTTCAAATAATTTATATTTCATTACTTAATTTATTACTTTTTATTTAATTAGTTTTATCCATATCTATCAGAATCCTGAACACAAAAATCAGACTGTTGTAGTCAGAGAATGCCCCAATAGTATGAAAGCTCACACTTTAAGGGACTGGTTCCAGGCAATAAAAGTTTTCTGATTATATCTCCTATCTTCTGTAAGTCACATGAAAATCCCCATCTTTGTAGCTGAATTAATTTTCCTCCAACTTTTCAGTTTTAAGAAAATTATTTGGATTTGCTATGCAACATATGATGATGCCTTCTCAGAGCATTACCGGGTATAAGTAGCAGTCACTGACAAGAAATTAAAGGAGATAAGCAGGTAAGTTGATAAACTGGAAAAATAATTGTCTCAGTCTACATTAATTTTTGATTCTAATAGTGCATAATGAGGTTGTCAATTTGTTCATTCTTTTTTCTTTTTCTCCTCTTTATTTTTCTTTTTCCCTTTTTTTTTTCCTTTTTTTCTTTTCTTTTTTCACAATAGTTCTGTCTCTATATGTAGCTTTCAGCATGATCGTGATCAGAATTTAATGAAATTGATGCACAATAAAGCAAAGTAAATGGCTACTTGTATATGCAACTGCTCATATTTAAATTACATATATGGACACATTGAGGAAGTAAATACTTTCACATTCGTCCAATTAGGAAAAAGATATGAGTTTGATACATCACAAAATTTTTTATCCTTCTAGTGTGTTTAATCCACAGAGTTAAAATTACATATTTGTCAGATAAGGTGAAATAAATAGTGGTATTAGAAAAGCCATGAACTTCTAGTGTACTGTCCATGAGTGGACCAGAGGGTTAAGTTTACTGAATTATTTGTGGCAATCTATTTTCTCAGCTCAATGCTGGAAACTTTTGTTCAGCTCTGCATATATCTTATTATTTCCCTGAAACACTGCTATTTTTCTAACATAATAAGAAGTTCTGTAAAGGGAAGCTAACAGTCTATTGTCTTTTTTATAGAGACTGAAAAATTTTATTTGTGTTATCATTTTGTTCTAAGGGGAACAAATTAAAAAACACACAACACTCTTAAATTGTTGATGATGTGTTTATCTGCAATCTGTGTTTTTAACAGTCAGGCTATGAGTCTCATTTCACAATGTATTCTGAGCAATATACAGATACTTCCTTTGCAAATGTTTTCATGCTATGGCAATTTTAACTTTGCCTTAATGTTAAATCAGAATGGAGGTGGTAAGAATGAATGCTATTAACAAATACCTTACTAAACATGTTGTCTTTCAGACTGCATTGAATACAAAGGTCTTGGTTATCAATATTCTGGTGACACTATTTGAGACAACAGTGGTGAATTCTCTCCAGCTATGTAAGTGAGAGCAAGTGTTTGGATTTTCAGGCAGTTGGCACACTAAAGCACTGAGCATGGGCATAAATAGCCAGAGCATTTAATGTAGG